GTATGAAGTGTCAATTCGAAACTCGAATAACCTTGGTGCAAGTAATTTCAAACTTATATACCCGATGTTTCAAGTAACGCGAGCTTGCGTACAAATCCTTAGGGAACTCTATTCTTTTCAGGACACCATATGTTCTTTGAAACAAAGAACTTTCATCCGATGCATACACAGTGTCCCAGGAGGCAACAAAATAGTCTAACCAATATGTTTGGTACATCATTCTGAATCAAACAAGTCATATACGCTATGAATCTTGAGATCCATTCGTTTATTTATTTAACAAGAGAAATTCTGCATGTACGTAATCGGAACAGAACAATAGTTTATCCTTTAAAGGAAATGTTCAAAGTGATGATCCTCCACTCATATATTTATTAAAAGTTTTATTTATTTTTTTTTATTTATTTTTAACTTCGAACTACTAACTTAAGTAGTAAGCACTTAAGTAAAGCAAACAACAATTATTTCGAAAACGAATGAGCCAGAAACCATAGCATATATAACCTAGAATGATCTGCGAAACATACAGGTAAAGTTATTCGATTTCTTCCTAGGACACTTTACTCGTAAAATAAAATTTTCGTGCAATATGCGGATAATAAGTGTAAAATAAACTTGAAATCAAAAATGGAAAAATTCATGTAATATTCGAATATGCGCCGACGTGTACGATTTACAAATAGAATTCTCTGTTTTCTGGACCTTCTCGACCGACACTGTTCCTCTTTAGAAACTGATCGCAGGCGTAATTCCTTCGATAAGAAAGTTTCGAGCGAGTCAGCAAGACGTAGGCAAGCGGAATGATTCGTTTAGCCGATCGGTGAGCTTCGGATTCGCCACGGCCAGGCCGCGCGCGCATCATTTCCGTAATGTGATTCTCAATAAACAAAGTTTCTGCACAGAAAACTTGGCGAATGGCCATTCATTACGCCCGAGCGACACGAACCTCGCGCGATGTTCGAGTTGCTAGCAGACACGAAAGCACACGCCGGGACGAGGATGTCGACTGCCTTGAACGCCTCGAACGAAATTGAAGCTTATCGCGGTTCACGTTGCAATCTCGTTTTAAACCTCGACGATCGCGGAAGCGTGACGAAAATTTGGCCGCATCGCATGCAAGTGGAGTAGGAAGCGAACTATGAGCCAGTAGTGTTCAAGAATCCCTTGGATTGTTCTGGAATATGATATGATACCAAGTGTAGATAGAAAAAGACATGAAAATTGTTTTTTAAATCACTCATAAGAATCGACTCATAAAAATTGTTGAATATTTATCATAAAAAACTGTTATTTTCATATTGTATGTATTACATAAATCATTTTGAAATTTCATTAGATTCAATGAGACACAACTATGAAACCAATCTCACATATTGTTTCCTCTTTCATATTAACGCTATGTATAGAGATACCTTCCGCTACAGTTCCTCCAAGCCTCATCGTCTTCATTCTTACAATCACCTCAGGGTACAACCCACTTAACACAACTGTACACTAGTTCCGCATCACAAACCAAGATACAAGTTATGTTATGAAGAAAATTATAGAGTAACCAATACAACTATCTCTTGCAAAAACGTCAAACATAATTCTACACGAAAATCACAGTTACTACATATGAAATGTAATTTTTTTGAAGGTTGAATTTGACGAACTAATACTATCTATTAGATTTTAATCCATAATTAATTACCGATTATATTAAAGAAGGAACTATAAATCACTATCAAATTATTAAATCAATTTAACATATTCAGTGTTAGGAAGATTTCTAATAAATACAGCAGAGCCTGATTATATCATCCATATTGAACAACCAGAATATTCCTGTTTCTTAAAGATGAGCTTAAATTTGGAAAAAGTGCGATAGAAATGGCTAGAAATATAAATCTAGCATTTGGGAAAAGTAAAAGCCATTGTTTATTTTACATAAACAATTTTTTAATACATAAATTATTTTAAATAAACTATAAATGTGAATAAATTTTGTAATAACTGCATTTCATGAATTTTTTAATTCTGCAGCTTAAAAGACTAATTTCCATAAATCCATGATAAGTAATAATAATATAATACTGATACAATAAATAATCTATGATAAACGAAACCAATTATTCATTAGAAAAATGTATCAAATCACACAAATATGACAATTATTCTTATTAAATATAAAAAGAAGCTACATTTCATATGCACGGACCGTGTAAATCCTCCCCTGATACTCTCAAAATACCCCAACATTTTATTGAAGAAACCAACCAGTCAACGCGTTTGCCTACATCAAACTCTTTTAAGCCTAAACCATTCTTTACATATGTATAATATCGTATATCCATACCAAGAAAGTTGAATACGTGAGAATAGGTAGAAAGGGTACCACTGTTCGAAGTGAGCTGAACGTTTTCTCAGAAGGTACACCGACAGTAGATTATCCCTGTCCGCGGCAGCCAGGGGACGGTAGTCGTGGACCAAGACCAGGCAAGATAAGGCAGCCGTAATTGACCATAACTCAAGGAAATGAAGCGGCGAACGGTACCGAGCATCTATATTCCGTCGTTGCTCGAACGTTAGGCGAGTTAACCTTCGGCCTGGATGCGCATGGACGTCGCTGCAGAATGTTCTCTCCGCTTCGCGATATCTTCTCAGCCGCGCGTCCGGCTGGCTTTTTCGAGAAGCAAAGAGTACGACGAACGATCACGATTCCCCTTCAAGCGGATCCATGGCTCGAAACAATGCCACGGAATCGTGCACCAGCCCGAGTTTCGTCCGGACGGAATTATACGGCGTTCCACCTCTTTTTCGTCGAATGGTTACTTATGGTGAAAGTGAGATCGCCATGGTAATATTTCGACGTCGAGACGTATGAAAGATGGTTGCCAGTTAATTACGTCCGGATAATTGGGGGAAGAAGAAAGGTTTATTGTGACGGGTCGATAGGTAGATACCGGATGGATAGGTTTTCTTGTTGGGAAAGTATAGGTGTCGGCTAAAGGGAAAGAGTTATTTGGAAGCAAGGTTGACTCTCGCCGCAGCCACTGGTCGTTTGTTGTAGAAACATACAATCTATTCGATTTGTTAGTGTACGGTCTTAACTTCGAAATACATGAGTACGTGTAACATATGTGTATATCGTGGAATTAAGAAACTTGTGTTCTTAATGAGAATTTGTATATGTAATATACAACAATACTGTGGCACTGCAAAAACAATATTTATTAGCAGAATATGTTACATAATTATTTTTTCTCATTAAATAGACATTAGCTTTGGAAAGCAGAAAATCAGCAGAATTATTATATATGTTGGAATATATTGTTCTTACCAAACTAATTTCAAAATTTATAAGGATCTGTCAAAACACCTCAGTATATCGTATATGAACTGTTGCATGTCATAAAATTGTGTATATATCACATTGTGATAATCATAATATGTGTATTCTAGTAGTTAAATGTGCACAAGAGACATAAAGTGGTACGAGTGAATAAATCAATATTTGCAAAGGACAGATTTTTATTAGAGTTAGTTTTTAGTGGAAAAGATACTTTTTTATTTTAGCACTCACGTTTCGTAAAGTTTTCCTGCAATCTGTGGACCGTAAGAGATAAAGTTGTTGACCAAGTTTTTGGATCGATTCTTCCCTTCTTTGACTGCCCAGGGAGTTTGTCAACAAAAGACACATAAATAGCACATTCCTATCGATAAGCACTTCAAAGTCTGCAATCTATAAGATAACGCGCGAAAAGAAGAATAACGCTCTTATCGAAAACACCCTGTTTCAAAGATTTCCTGTTTGACAAATACGTGTAGAAATATCTTTCGCGAGAGATATGGCGATCCTGAAATAAATCCAAGCCGGGTTTCGAAAACACTGTCTGCGTGCAAGCAGAAACCATTTTTAACTCTTTATGAATATGATCATGACCGTCAAATCAAAGAATAATAACAAATATCATAATACTTATATCAAGTTTTTAACGATAATAGCTTTAGAAGAGGATTTAAATGTGTTGATACAACTATCAACCTGATAAAAATCACATTATTAAAAGATTTATCTTCTTCATTAGCATGAGCTTGATATATAAATATTTTATCCTAGTTACTAACATGTTACACGCAAAAACAGCCTAAACGCAACTACGGCACGATGTGTGTTATATGCATATATCAAACGGCGACACGCGAAGAAATCCGGCCATGTGTTACGTACATGCGTCGCTTGTTGTTGAAGGGATAAAATTACTACTGGATTTAATTACACATGTTACTACCAGCAGAAGAATGCAACGAGAATAAGAGTATAATTAACCTCGCTTCCCATTTCAAGAGATCTACGTTCCCATTGAAACTCGACAAACTCGTACTTCCAATAAGATAACCCTTTAAACTTCACAAAACACACCTGTAAATTTCGCACGACAGAGAATCAGGCTTCTTCGCGAGTACAGGCATTCGAATCGTGTTGGTATACTTTACGTTGGCCGCATTAAAAGGAGAAGTTTGTGCAGACCGGAGCCGCATAATGACCCAGTCCCGCGCAGCAATAAAGTCACACGTTCGAGCGTGAAATCTGGCGAAATTAATGCTGCGATAAATTACACGGTGCTTCGAGCTTACACTCGAACCGGCACAGCTCGTCTGTTTATTTTTGCGCGGCCGAAATCGAGCGATGACGGCAGAGTTCCTTTCGATTAAGGCCACGATTACATTCGCATTTCTTTTTTCTGTAATTGTGAGAAGTTTCTTGCATCAGTAATAAGTACATCTCCGTACAAAAGTTTTGGCACAATTTTAACCCTTTGCACTCGAGGACTTTTTCGGTCGGGCATAGCAACTACTCCAGATGATTTAGCGTATACGTGACGCGCGTCTTACAGCTAGCGTAAAATGATTTTATATTCAAATTAATTTACAGAAACATTATATGCTAATAATTTATCTATATTTACATCTTGGAAAATATGATTTTGTGATATTAATTTCTGTATTTTTTTTTGTATGATAATTTATAAAGCATTCACCAAGATGCATTCTTGAATATAATTGATCTCATTTTTTAACAGTTCAAAATCAAGTTCATCTTCATTTGAGTTAATTTCACTTCTGAAATCCATATTTTAGGGTTTCTAAACTATAATACTTTTGCCATGATCGTCGAATTCAAACTAAAAGCACTATTACAATGTATCATCTATACAACATCATTACAATTACGGATAATTATCGTCATATTTAATAATAAATGTCTTCAGATTCGTCAAAAACGAATGTCAACTTCACACAGCCGTGTGATCTTGGCCGTCTTGCACGATAATTTACTAATTAATGATATCAGCAAATTGACAAGTGACAAATTATAGATTATAGATTTCTCTCGTATAATTTTAGTTTTAGGAGACCCTAAGGACATTCAAAAAGCGTATGAACTATGAGTAAGAGAAAAAATCAGAAAAGCAAGGAAAACAAGATGTACGAAGACGAAACGAAATTGACGGGAAGTTAATCGCGTTCGCATGCCGATTTCATGGAAAACTGGTTTGATAGTGCTGAATTAAATCGGCGATGATTAATATCTCGGCATTGGTCACCACCGCCTGCTATCTGCGACAACCGGATGTAATGCACACCCTGGAATCGCATAATAAATGTAGATATTTCCGATTACAAATTGAAACATCCGCCGACAGGTAGCCCGAACTCGGCCCTGGCAGACGACGTTCCCTTGGCCGAGGTGAGATTGATTTATCGAACAAACTGATCGAGGTAAAAGTAAACCGGTTCGGTAGACGAGACGCGACGATAATGTCGTCTGGAAAAAGTTTAGATTTGAAAGTGTGACATTGTCACGGAGTTTGGTAGAAGTGTGCACAAACCTTAAAATAGAGCGTTGCATTGCGTACGTTAGCCCTGTTAGTTAACCTGTACGAACCTTTTACCTAGAAGTAAAACCGAGCAATTTCTTATACTATAAACTTTTCAGTTTCATTGTCCAGATATACGGTTATTTAATTCTTGAAAAATAAATAATTTATTTCCATATATCTTCCCCGTGCAACATTTTTAATGCCGTATATATACGTAAACTAAAAAGCATAATATCTTTTGTATGTGCGATGCAGGTACGCAAGGAACGTTGCGCAACTCTAATTTGAACGGAACCGGTTCGTGGATCCTAACTTCGAAACGTTATGTTCGACCAAGTTTACGACGTATCGATTACCATCGAGAGTAGTGCACATCGATTTTACAGACTAAAGAAGGTGAATGGTAGTTGAATGGAGGAGTTTAGAAACGAACGTAAAACGTACGCATCCTGAATGATATATATATCATAACCGAGGTGTTATAATTCTATAATCGAACGCAGATCGTATAAATCACCATAAAATTCTATGTTACGTACACGATTTAAATAAAGAATTCAATTAGAATTTAGAATCAATTGTCAAAGTAAAGAAGAAAACAATACGAATTGTGAAACCAGATTATGTAATCAATTGAAGCCATACCCCGTTACCTATTAGATCGAATAACAAATAAAAAATCTGCTATTAATTATTTCTCACAAAAATATCTACTTTCAGAAAATATATCATTAAACTTACGATAATTTCTCCTTAGCAATTATGTCACATTAAAGTTCTCTTCCCTTTAACCATCAAGCCATAGATATCAAGAAATAAAAAAGAATGCACGTATTACGTTTTTCCTGTGATATAGTCTTCGACTGTGCCGATGTTATAAAATCAATTGTGCGTGATATCGATCGACTCCCCCCGATAGATTCCGTAGCAGAACCATATGGTTGGAAAACCTTACAACCCTTAACAAACATATAAGTATACAGGGTGCCCCAGTAATCATAGCAGAATTGGTGGGGTAGTGGTAATGACAAGAAGCAGATAATGAAATAGCAAGAACAGTAGTTTTAGTACACGTATACAGAGCCGGTTTTCAAAATCAGTTTCGTCGAAATCGAAGTATCACGCGCAAAAACATTATTTCACCGAATCACTCATCGCTACGTTGTACCACCAGTTGTTACCAGACACGCTGTACATACATCTCCAACCATTTGCCTCTATCGCCAACCAATGACGATTACAAAAAACGTAATTACAAGCGCCGTTCCTTTCGTGGAAAGGACGTATCACAGCCGCATCACAGCAACAGGCCACCGTCTTAGAAATCAATTTAACATTTTTCCAGCGGGCGATCTCTGTTGCCGGCCGACAGCCGCGCGCGGACGACTTGATAATCCGAGCGAGATAAGATCGACTGTCGGGGCCTCGCGGTGATTGCGTGGCGAGCGAATCGTTCGAACAGAAAGGTGAACGTTTCCCACGACCCTGCGAATCCTGCGCGCCGGATTCTGCGGCTGCACACACCATGGGTAATAAGACGCACACGCGAAACCGTGTGCATCGCCTCTTTGGTTCGATTCAGCTAGAAACGATAGTCGGAAATATCGATGAGTAAGCTAAGCTCCAGCCTCCAGTCGAGACCACGTAAATTCGCTTTCCGTGCATCAAAAACGCAGTCGCATTTCGCAATTAGCGTGGAATGCGAGAAGGAGAAAACGAGGGTGAAGCAAGGGGAGAAGGGACAACACGGGGAGAAACGATCGACGTCGTAAAATTGCGGAACGAGAACCGAAGATGCAGATGCGCAAGCATCGAGAGGAGATGCTCGGCTTCTTCGAAACTCCTACGCGCTGGACGATTCCCAATTTGGTCTTCGTATGCTCTCCCGCTATCCCGTTAATCGCGCTCGCTATCGAACCCACTCGCCCATTACCGAGCATGTGGATGTTGCAGTATGTTGGAAGTTAATTGCTGGCGCGATGTACAGGTTGCTTCGGACTCGCGTTGGTGGATACATACTTGCTCGTTTGGAGAAGGATAAGTTTGAGAAGTGTTCTATTGCACTCTTCTTTGGTTCGGTAAATTTGATTAATTATACGGTTTTAATGCAATTGTGGAAAGTTTTAGAACGTGAAATTGTATAGAATGGAATAGACATGCCGGACGAAGAACATAGCAAGTCACATTCCTTGACTTTTATAGAGGAACAATTTTGAAATTCATTATATTGTCAAAACAATTCTACAGCAAAATTATCTCTCCTTTTGATTGTGCAGTTAAATACGTGCTTAATATTAGGTTGTCCCAAAAGTTTCTTTCCTTTTGTAAGGAAATAATAGATGCACAATTTTGTTCTATTTGTTTCAATAGAACAAAATAGATCATACATAATTCAATAAAATAATATAAGATAATATAAAATAATAAAAGATGTTGTAGATCTATTATTTTCTTATAAATAGATTAATATGAATTAAATTAAACTAGCATAGCAACTATACTAATATTGTCCGTTTCTTATAAGACGTCTTACGAAAAAATTTATTGTCTATTTCCAAAGGACTCATATCTTCGAATCCATCAGACGATTCCTTTATGGTACAGTCTGACAAATATTTTAATAGCTGTAACATACATTCAAATATTAGGAAAAGTGATGAAAACATACTTTTAACTCTAGACCCAAATAAAACGATAATTTTGATAACGTAGGATATCTTGGTACTGTGCATTGAATTTTAAATCTTACACTCCCGCAAAATTCGAAGAATATATCTTATCGCGTTTCCTCTTTTAATCTTCATTTATAAATCGTATCCACACCATCCTGACGTTCCTTTACAACCATGTATTGAAGGTTACAAGGCGATTAATGAAAAACGATCGTACGTAAAGCAGTACCGCTGCGATCGGTCCCTGACTATCGAACCTTCGCCGAATGGAAAGATTGGAAATATTACGTACATCATAACATGGTATGCAATTTATTAGGCGGTCTCGATTCATGTTAATTCGCACGATAAATATCAGACCATTAATTTAGCGGGTGTCGTTCATTTTTCAATTACGGGTAGCTTTCGCAGCTTGACCGATCCGATCGGCGAGAACGAAACGCGGCTCGTTTTATGACGACGTCGACGCTCGTCCGCGTTCCTGCACACGCCCGGTGCGGCCCGCAAATTTCCGTGGATAGCGAGCCTGTCGTAATAATATACAATTAACCGAAATTAGGTACCGCGTTACAATAAGCTTGCCTTTTCATCTACAGCCGCCGCTACCGCGCCGCTAGAAAAGAATCAAAGTGGCCCCTCCCTCTGCTGTCTTCTCGGACCTATCGTTTTCGTCGAAACGCGAATTCGTTCGTAGACCCGAAAGAAACTCGTAAATTCTACGGCTATAGAAATGGTTCATGAAAATATTCGAACACTTGCAGAAACCGTTTAGGAGTATATTGTGTATGTTGTACGCAACACTTTATAATTTCATTAGCACAAGTAACGAGATACGATTACTGTAATTATGTTGATAAAATTTGAAACAAATCTGAAATTCTGTACAATGTTATAAAATATTTACTGGAAACGAACGGTCGATTATTCATTATATTAATAAGCCTTAATATTTTCAATGGAATAATTTTTAACACTGACTGTATGTTAAAATAGCTGTTTATACTGTATGCCAATTTTTTAATAAATATATGTTCGCAATAAATATTTTGTAACTTCCATATTCATTTTCAGATCAGTTTGAAGTTGTACCAATATAATCGTGACAATTATGTATCATTATAATACTAATCAAATTCCGAAATGTTTTATATAAAAGTTGTTTCTGGTAAGTGTTTAAATAATCTTGTGAGCAATTATACATTTAACGTGCGAAAGACGCGTTTCCACGATTGTATTGCTCATAGTCGAACGACGAACTACTTAAAATTTATTCGAAGAGGAATGGAGGAAAAGGAAGCTGCGGCTTTGAACGCAAATTCATGGAAGGAAATAATAAATTGAGAGCGTGGGGTGGACGCAATTATCAAGGATACCGGGCGGTCGTTACGTTCCCCACCCGTCGCAAGAAGTTTTCGTACTATGTAACCGGATTATTCGACGCACGTTTCGTTTCGCGTGAAATCTCAGGCGACGGAAGCACGGAATTAACTGAGTCTGCTCAGATGTATAACTTCTCGATATGCAGACTTCCGTATAATTACTTTTGTGCATTAAGAATTTATTGAACCATAGTTGAGAGACCATGAATATAGAATCTGTTATGTTGCAGCTTTCATGCCAGAAAATTATTACAGATAAATGACAAATAACTATTATTTATTAAAAATTACTGGAATAATAATCATCGAGAAATATGGTGAACGCCACTACGGTATTCTAGGATTCTTCCAAATTTTCCCATTTCTATCGTGGACTATCATCCTCTCCGAACTTTACCGATGCATCAAGTTCCCTAACTCTTCTTTATTGTTCCCATTTCAACTACGTTTCTACGTTACATTACGTTGAATTCGTTCATTCGAAAAATCAAGCGAACAAGCGTCTCCGAAAGAAGGTTCGCCTTTTTCCTAGGATTTCGAGGCGAAGAAACGAGTACCATCGAGAAAACGGCCACGTCAGATAGAGGCACGCAAGCCGTCAGCAACGTTGAACGGCGTAATGAGATTCGCAAATGACGATACCACTCGATGTGTTCGAAAGCGTGTCGATTTGGCGCTGTCAAATAAATTAATGAAAGATCAAGATGCAAATAGAGGTGGTTTTAAGCAGCAACACGCGAGCAACGAGGCAGCAATTTTCTGGGAGAGTTTCAGAATGTCTCAGACAGTGTCATCTTGTCGGATTACACTTCTCTTTCGCATTTCTCTTTAGCTGGTTCCACCCGTCTTGATTGTCCCCGTTAACGACAACTTCAGGGAAGATTGTAAAGGTATATGGAAGGCGGACGAAGTACAGTAAATCGCGAAAGTATTTAAACGCTCACCATGGACAATTTTTATGAATACATAGTGTTCTGATATTTTATTAATATTGCTATCACAATTATAATAGTGGATTTTTAAACCAATTTAAAAATATATATATGTATGTAGACGTTGCAAGTTATATACTGCAAACATACACTTGTATAATAAAAAATTAGTTTTTAGTATAAAAAGTGATCTTATATATAGAATCAGTGCTATCATTATCGAAGTAATTTCTACGCGATATAATGTATCTTTTCATTCAATTAGTCTTATTATTTTAAATCCATAAGAATTATTTATTTCTAGACAATTCTTATAGTTTCTTCATATGCAATTTCTCTCTTTTAAGTAATTGCAGAATATTAAAAACTTGTCTAGTAATAGTGTATTTTAATATGGAATGTTAAAAGATGTCTTCAACAATCTTTTATATCGTTTTTGTTCAAACTTAAATACATATTAAAAAAATCATCGAATTATATAAAAGTACATGACGCAAAATATAACTTATACATTGTTCTTCAATATCGTATGGTAACGAACATTAACAAATTACTGCATTTTTCTTAAATTCTTTAGAAACCTAACATATTCCTAAAAAGTTTATACAAACGTTGAAATACTTTCGTGAGTCGCTACAGGAAAGAAAAGATCAGAGTATCCTTGCCTCTTCTTGGCTTTCCGTCTCATCGTAGCGAGAGAATGAATCCTTCTTCGAGGACAACGACGAAGACGACGAAGACGACGAAGACGACGACGACGACGTTCCTTTTCAGAGGTTGAATTTTCCGTGCAAACGCTTCGGGCCTCGTTGCACGAAGTTACCTAGAGTATTGCGAGATCGAGACGAGAGGAAGCGAGAAGAGAAACAGGCTCAGGGCAGGGACTTTTTAACAGTAGAATTGCAAAGCAAACTATGCAGAAGCGCCTCGGGTATAGCATCTTCGTCTCTCTCGTTCTTTTTATCTTTCGCGTGGCTTGATGAAAAGAAAAATTACCCGGCCAGAAAGAGAGCACAAATAAATTATCCCTCGGACACGGCAGTTGTCCGCCGCCTTCGACACGTTACGCTAATTATTCGAGTAACTTGAGATTGAACAACGTCGTTTATTAACGCGCCTCTTCCTCTATCTGGTTAGAGGATCGTTCGAATGAATATGCAAGCGATTAATCGAGATAGGAAGCGCGTCCAGCCGATTCAAGCGGCATTTTCAAATGTAGCGAGAATTTGCGTTGTCAGAGACAAGTTGGTGACGACGGCGACGACGAAGACGACGAAAGGAAGAAGAGCGGCAAGAAGCTCGAAGCGTGTCGTCGGCCGATTCCACGCGATAACGTCGTTCCGGTTCTCGAAACCAGCGTGCTGGTTCGCGCGTGAAAGAACACGTTTGCAAGACGGCAATAAAATATTAGGCCCCGGTCCGCTGGTATACACGCCGCGCCGACAATCTTTCCTAGAAAATTAAATGCGATGTTTTGCTCGATCAGACTTCCCGCCGCGTTTTCTCACGAGTCACTCTGTCGCGCGAGCTTTAAATAGGCCGTGAATGGCAGTCTGCACACGATGCTCCGAAACAATGGCAAAGAAGAATGGGCGAGTTAAGTATAAACAGTACTAAAGGTGTGTCTTGTACGATCTGCTCGACACGACTTGGCCCTGGAACTCGTAAGTCATTGTGGTCACTGAAGTTGATTAAATGATAAATGAAGGGTGATGACGAAGGAGATAGATATTAATTTTAAGGGAATTATTGTGATGTATCATTCTATGATTTTATTTTGATTGAACTATGTTGTAACTTATACAGAAGTAGGGAGGATTGAAATCATCATTTTACTATTTTCGAAATTCTTTGAAAAATGCTGATAGTCAATATTGTCAGTTTTTACTCATTTTTGTGGAAAACTATAGAAAAAGAATTTTTATCTATGAAATTATTATACATACGAATCTCGTTCCTCTCGGTTGTAATTGTAAAATATCGCTCTCTTTAATCAGTTTGTTATTTCATTCGTAAAGACATTTTTATAATAAAAAGATACCAAGAGTACTTTTATTTTATGTATTTGTTCTATATTATTTTAGTAACATTTTTCATATATGAAACTTCTTAACATGTCATCTTCCCATCAAAATCAGAAGTAACTAGCAAAATAAAATTCCTGTATTCTATTATTGATTGAAACGAGAGACGTAAGAAAATTTTGAGTTTTTATAAAAAATAGTACTATCTTTGCTGATCATCATACCTACAATAAATTGTGGATACTTGATAAAAAATGTGACGAAGAGTATCTTGTTCAAGAATACCTTCAAGATCAGAAGTTCAACTTCCTGAAGTAAATTGATTTCACCGTAAAAGTCCATAATGAATTTCTTAAACACAAGATCACAAGGACGTCAAAGTACGCTTTACTTTTTCTACCATTTTGAATGGCTCTTCTCTGGATTCATGGCACGCTCAGCTTAAAATAGGACACGATTTTGTCGAAGATGGCACACTTCCTGCCTCGCCTTTTTCTTTTACGAAGGCGCTCGTTGTTTAAAGACTGTATTTGCGTTACGTAGCTTATTATCTCAGCTCAGAGGTTGACTAATGTAAATTAACGAAGGCGGAACTGAGCTGTAGTTGAATCTTAAAAGAGTAAGCTATCTTCTCGCTACTTTCTGGCTGATACGTTGAAAACTCGTGTTACGTTATCTGGAAAATTTGAGTCTTCAAGTACCAACCTACTTTTAATTAAAAAAGGGAAAGATCCTATTTAAATAATACCTGTGTTTAACTTCGAAGGACTATAATTTATTTAATATATATTCTGCATGATGACTCGGGGTTCTGCATTTCAGTCTTTTTGTTTAATTTATTCTCATAATTGCTTACAATTTCATTTTATCCCACGTATGTATATGTAAGTATATATAATAAATTCAGTTGAAGTAATTGATTAAAAATTCTTGACAAGAAAGATTTGATACAACTCTCCACAATCATTTATATAGAATAGCCTTGAGAACTAATATTTATTATCCTACATCGAGGTCTACACTTTCATTCAAAGAGGTATACGGATCCTTGTCTCTCTTTGATAAAATTATTTACAAATTATGGATACATAACTACAATGATTTCATCCTGTATAATCATTATAGAATTATATCCTTTATAATCACTATTGGTTGAGTTGATTTTTAAAAATCAATATATAATAAAAGCAATATAATAACAAAACTAGCACCTTTTCTTTCGACAAACATCGCGATACATAAAACCTTCTCTCCAACTCATCTCTAATAAATTTGATTTTAAAATAATTCTGTACGAGAATCTAAGAGAGAAGAGAGAGAATTTCTAAGAAGAAGGAAGAAACAAATTTTTTACTTCCTCTTGGAAATAAGTAAAAGTACAATAAAAGAATTCTAACAATTATCGTTCTGGAGCAACTTATCGCTGCCATAACGTTGATCGAACAAAGCTAGGACAGATATAGCAGTCACCGTCATCCTCGCAGACCATTCATAGTCTTGAATGACCAATTTCGAGATGAGCTATATATTCAGAGCGCGTTTGCTCGCCTCGAAGGGCTTGCGTCGTGTTTCACTGACGTTCGTTCTAGCCTTGTTAGCGGTTCAACAATGTAAATCAATCGGAAAATAAGGCAATTTACTCTGGCGCAAGGAATTAATAACCAATTAGACGCGGTCTTAAGGCCGCGAGCGGTGTTCAACGATTTCCAGAGAGTCGACCGACATGTTAAATTACGCTTTTTTCTGCTTGTATAAGCATTACTGACGGCTACTAATTACGTGAAGTCTACGCGATGAAAAAGTGAAAGAGAAAGAGGAAGAAAGAGAAAAGCGTATAGTCTTGTATCTATGCTTGGACAATAGCTGTATCAGTCGCGTCGGTCTTTGTTGAAAATTATCGAACCATCCAGTAACGACGATACACGTGCGATCAGCTTTTCCAATTTTGCGTTTAATTGGATGGTAAACGCGTTCATGCAGCACACGTTCTGATTGTGTGTTAATTTCGCTATTTGCGACTCAAATGTTAACGTTGTACATTGGTTCAGCTCGCCTATATTCTATATGTACGTAATAGGAGGTAGTAATAAATTCTTTAATCTTTTTCTTCTTATTAGAGAATTGTTATTAATTATTTAACTGCTTCGACCTTTTTTGCTCCTGCTTGCCTGCGTTAATTGATTGTGGGGTTCGTTAATGATTCCACCACTCCATTGACTCTACTGCTTGAGTTCGTTTTGCTTCTAATGATCAACGTTACTTTAGTACCTTTTCAATTGCTTATTATTTTGTTCTGAACTATGCATTCTGTAAGTACAGTTGTTGTATATGTGTGCATGAGACAAATTAGTTCTTTCAATTACACTCTGAGTATGGACCATCAACATCCTATATCCTCAATGTACATTATCCTCAATCAAATGTAACTTTCTTTAGACGAAGGAATATCTAATGATTTCAAATTAATCAATCAAATTACTGAACCAAAGTTTCAATATAGAAACACCACTTCCTCTAAACACATATGACGCTCAACCAAATCCAATCTCATTCAAATCATCTAGATACATGGTAATTGCTCTAAGAAATGACCAAATTAATCGATCAAATTATTAAAAGTAGTAAATCCAAAGTTTCAAACAGAAACACCGCTCGCCAAGCAATTAGAATTCCATTACGTCGTTTCATAAAGTACCAGCGATCTTTTCTTGAATCTACGTGCTTAACATAATCGTCATTTAATCATACACGTGTGGTGTACGTCCGTTTCGCGTCTTGCAACCTACAATTTCCACTAACAAACAGTTCACGGAATTCTCACACGAGAGATCGGTATCTCTCGTCCGCGTTTGAGCGGTGCACGGGTCAGTAAATCGCGCGGCGTGACGTTTCGCGCCTTCGCGGCCATCAGAAACAGCTGCTTATGTGCCGTTAAACGTCACAGGGATCGAGCAAAATCTTCGTTGATGCCGTTTACACGCGGCGGATCGCGTACCACTGCGTGCTCGGAAGTCACCGTGCATCGTGACTTCTTATCCGGGATCTCAGACGATGGTAACTGTTCATTTGTCGACGAACAGACCGCACGACAGGGAACGTGGCCGACAATCCATCGACCTAGTCGCAAGAACGGCGATAGTAACGACTTCCGGTACGTGAAAGGCAACTCTATGGCGACTGTCTTATGGATATTTTTCGAAGCATCCCTCTTTGTGATGCGGATCGATCGTTTCGTGTAGGATGTATAAGTTCATGTGATTGGGTAAAAGGAGACTCTGATGCGAATTTCGAGAGTGAATTTCAGACTTGGATACGCTTATCGTAAGGCAAACCCTTTATACATACCATTGTTTGAATGAAAAGTCGTATGGAATGGTAAAATTAACAAATATGTGTATGTATAATAAATTTGAATTTTTTATCTTCTTGTATGAAATATTTTTGTCGAATACAGATAAACTAACCCAATACAATATATTGTTCTCTTTTCATAGCACACAAATCTTTTAAAGTGTATAGAATTGTCAAGTTTGAACAAGATAATCTATCATAATTAAGTTGCAGAAATTTATCTGGTGATGAAAGGAGACATTTTATTGTCCTTTCTGTACATATTTATTTTATTCGTAAAACATGTACAGTATAGTTTTTTGCCTTTTGGCATTATTTCAATTCCAAAATAAGTCGCGCAAAATTTGTTGATGGATTAACAAAATGTAATTAACATAAAACAAAAACTTAACTGAAAACTGCTTTCGAAGAATCGTAATTCCATTGGACGTTGTCGAACCTCGTTAGTCTTGATTTTATGCCATAATTTTATCCATCCTACTTAAGCCATCTTACTTTTTACTGACACGGGTAATTGGATTCTAGTTTCCTTGAAAGTTCCTTGTAAACATGTCTACGTCAATAGTCCAATTACTACTTCTTACTGAAGGATTCAACAATTTTTACAACATGACGCTTAAGAAACCTTATTAGTTTAACAGATGAAATTTATGTAGATTATCGCAAGAACAAAATGCGTAAGAATCGGTATTTCTAGTATTGTAAATACTGTTTTCCTTCTTTTTCACACGTTTAATCGGAAACATTAAAACGATGGATCAATTAAAGACAATGAAGCAGCAGAAATTCCAGGGAGATAAATGGTCCGTTAAGTTAATCCACTAAGGAACTCAACCCGTTAAGTTTGCACAGCCGAAGACTGGCGGCTCTTCCATTGCTTCGTTACGATCCAAAAGGTACATTAGAAAAAGGAAGCGGCTACCCCAGAACATTTCGATCTGAATGACACTGTTAACTTGGAAAATCAACAAGGAGAAATACTCTAAATTACCTAACGGTGACACATAACGGACATAAAATTTTAACTTCTCGAAGCATTTGACCGTTACGGTTATCGTGTTTTACAGATAATGAGTTTTACAATTCATGCTTCTCACACGTAGCACATTGCAATAAAATCCCCAGGCAAAGTTCGAAGGTAAGATAATTTGTTTCTTTGAAATTTCCCTTTAGATTATATTAATATTGATACATGCTATTATGAGCAATCACGCGATATATGATATGGCAATAAAGATGTAATCCCGCTATAAATTTAAGATGCAACGCGTTTCTTTGCTCATTAAAACTACAGATAAATAATAATTCCTTTTCTGACTTATCTTCATTCCGTCCCATATGTTTATACTTACTTAGTTAGATCTTCTTGTACGATAATTTAATTAATTGATAATATTCGATTAATTGATAAGTTATAACTTTTGTGCACAAATCATATTTACAGGTTTATGTATTTTATGTGAAATAGGACAATTAGTTGGTTTGTAATTCATAAGGTGGAATTGTATTTGTTTTATTATCAAACTGTTGGCTTGTAATTTAGAAAATGGCTTTTAAGATTTCATTGATAATATTATTCGAACAAGATACATGGTAGAAATTGACGGAAGTGAAGATCCGGAGCACCGACCCGACATGACCTGCTGAAATTTAGAGCATCGAACTAACATGAACGGGAACATCGGATTTTGTTTGTAGGAGGTAATTTCGCAAACATCCTGCATAATATAAATACTTTACGTACATCTCCAACAAGAAGACCATGTATCAAAAGCAACTAGTTGTAGCCGCGAGTCATTGAGGCGAAACGAGAGATCCTCGAAAATGATAAAGAAACGACAATGCGTCGCTATCGTTTCGTCATCGATCCCAGGTTCCCTTCGGGAGAAAACTGTGGGCGTTGATTGAGTGCACGCGAGCTGATCGTGGCTAGTCGTTTTTCTTTCGCGATTCGGAATGCCAGCATCCCATAATGCAGACAAGAAATTTACTAGATCAGTGGCTAGTTGATACGATGACATCCACGGTGGTTCTACAGTTCCATGGTGTTCGCCCACTAACGATACAATCAACGTATCGCCGATCCATCTAGTTGTTATCATAATTAATGACCGTTCGCTTAATTAACTTCTATCGGACAATTAATGGCCTTCTTGAATTTTATTACTCGATAATCGTTCGTCCAGGAACGTTGTGGTCAAGCTCATTTAAGATGTATGACCACCTCTATTAATACCGGTCCGTTTTCAGAACCAGTATTATTTTTTCTTTGTTTAAATACGTTTATTACCGTATAAACTTTGCAATATCATAACAAAATAAAATAAAAGAATAACATAAAAATTAACAAAGAACTATCAACCCAGGAATTTGTAGTTTCTACATACGTGACAAAAATGGTAATAGGTATAAGGGTCACAGCATGAATTTCAGGAAATCCTAACTAAACATTTGTACTGCGGATTTTTGTGACATCCATATTTTTGAGAACATCGTTAAAGAAGTAAAACCTCAGTAGAAAATTAGTTTATGGACATTTTATATATTTTTTCATATTGTGTGCATTTTTTGCAATTTTGCAAATTTCCTATACTGTCTGCAATACGCTTTGTATTTCAATGGAGAAAAACGCTAGTGAAATCAGAGCCAACATTACGCCGTAAGTCCTCCGGCCGTGTATATTTAAGATCGTTACACAATGACGAGACGTTCGTGGGATCGCCGAGCGAAATGATCGTAAATTATAGTCGAGCTCCAGGCGGGCAAAAGATTGCCGATTTTGGCCCGAACGGAAGCCTAATTGTGCGTGTAGCAAAAACATCCTAGTCGCTACTAATTGCTACCTGGTGAGCGTATCACGGGAGAAAGAATGTAAATCACGAGTGGCCTCGTGCACGGTGGCAAATGTATGTATTATCCTCTGCATAACGGTTACACCTGCTTCTCCCTTTTTTGGGGGGACCCAATTCGGCAATCTGTTTTATCTTTCATCGATACGTTCGATAAGCACTTTATTGTCATTCATATTTATAGAGCGGTTAGATTATTAGCCTACTGTGGAAAGTACAAGCTATTTATAGATTGCGGATGTTTATATAAATTCATGTTTTTGGAAGCGAGTAAAGAGGTGAAAATAAAACAAAGATTTGTTTTACATATTAAAAGTAGTAGGCAATGTTCTGTTTTCAATATTTTATATATTTTATATGTTATTTGTAGTTTGAATATCTTTATGCATTTTATACATAAAAATCGATAGTTTGTTTGTTAAAATGCTTGGTCAAGAAGAAAATTTGTAACGAAACATCTTGACAACTGTCTAAAATTTTATTCGCAATGATTCTGTGTGTTCTGTATCTATTATGTTGTGTATATGTTATTTGCGATTCTCATTCTTGTTTGAACAAGCAAACAGACTTGATATATTTAAAGAACTTTAGCATATAATCGGAACGAGAAAATAGCGAGTCCTTTGTACATATTCTCCTCAAACTTAGGAAATTTTTTTAACGGTGACGAATTGTTACAATGAAACGTTTCGTCATCAATTTCAGCTTAAAAGCCTTTCACAAAAACGTACAATGGTAAGAAGTTAATTAACGTATTACCTGTCTGAAATAGTTTAAAACTAAATTAAAGTCATCAAAGCAAACGAATCGTCGTAATTCAGATTTCAAAAAACCGCGAATCAGTACCTTCTGTCCGTTTCAACAAAAACATCTAATTCGCTTCATAAATTCATCCAGTCGACTTTATTCTCGAACACCAGTCATATTGCTTGCAACAAAAAGACCTGTTCCGTCAGAACTTGTTCCATTTCTACAATGCAATCTCATTCTTCGCGTCTCTGCATCGAGACTCTAACGGTCCACCAATTTTACCAACATCGTAAAACTAGATTCCAATCGATTTCAAGTACGGTCGTTTTACAATAGTTACAGCCGCGGACAAGAGAGATAACCCGATAACAATCCACTGCGAACGGCTAAGTTGTATCGAAGACACTCTGCATAGAAATTACAAGCACGATCACCGTTGATCGACGTTGAAATCGAGGATCGGTATCGCGAGATCGCGTCGTGATCACAGCCGAAGGAAAAAATCTTGGTACCGTTCTATACGAGAGTCTCCTGGTGATTGACTCGGGAATTTACGTCGTAATAAGGACAAGTTGCTTTGTATGGACAGAATCCTTTAGAGTTTTCATTTATTGTGGTTTTTGTAAGACTCAGAGGCTAGGGAGAGATTCCAATGATATTTATTAATAGAATCGTATGTGTGAATTTTTATTTAACAAGTTAAATATAATAGACCTTTCAGCAAAGTTTAGGAACTCTTGTTTTTAATTGAATATATATAAAGAATATAGATTTCCATACATTTAATTAATTTTTCTTGTTGTTTCTTTACAACTTTTGTTTAAAATATTTTTCCATACTTTGAGATATCTAACAATTTTTAGTTAAATCGAGAAGATTGTACATTATCTGTAATATTACAATTGTGAAGATTAAAATAAATTTTGTTTAAATAATTAATTTGAAATAATAGAAATTTAAATTCAAAGCGATAAAAATGACACCGTAATGGTAAGAAAATTCAAGTATGTCAAATTGTTTCGCAAATATCAAGATGCATTGCGTGTTAGGTTTACGCTGGATTTCATGTATACACGTAGAAGCGGAACAATAAATGGACGTTGTCGGCGAGATATCGTGACATTTATTGGTTTCTGAATTTTATTGTAGTGCGATTGCAAACGAATCGAATTCGGTACGAGAGGAATGCTAAACGCTTGAGGCGAACAGATCGCATTCTTCGAAATGTTGCGTTGGATGATTTCTTTTAACAACCCGGATTATTAGTTTAGCTTCGCTTTAATTTAGATTGCGGTCATTTATCAAGATAAGGAATTAAATGGAATGTACATGCAGTATAAGGAATAAATAAACTACTAAAAGCAATTAATGTAACTAATTTCGATTACTAATATTATATCATGCTGCTTTCGATAAGGGAATGAGTTCGTTTAAATTGAATCTGAAATAGTTTGAATT